TCCCAATTTGCGTTTTTACCGCTATGTTTCATAATGCCCGCCCCTTTCGATTGGAATGGATTATACACGTACTTGTAAATTATATAATATATATAATATATATATATATATGTGTATATATATGTATATATATACATATATATAAATATAGATATATATGCATATACGAAGAAAAAGAAAAAAAAAAATACGTTGCTGGTGCTGTGTCTAAAAAGCGTTTTACAATCCCATAAAACAGAACGAACGAACGAACGAACTACATCGAACCGAATGCTCCCTTGTTCGCGTGTGAGTGGTTTATTCGTACTGCCGGCTTCGTTCTGTCGTACTTAAATGGTGTAAAATATTTTTTTTTTTCTTTTCTTTAGGAACTTATAATACTACTCGTGACGTACGACGTCCTGACTTTATCCTAAGGATCACGTGGGTCTGATGAAGGCAGGATTTTCTCGTTCTTCGTACTGTTTCACGATCTTCTTATAAGCTTCTTACGTATATTACGATCAGTGTAAATACGCGCGTGTACGTGGATAGAATAAGTCGTTAGATCCCTTTCAGTAATCGCGTTGTTCTTGGATTTAAACACGCTATAAAACCAACGCAATAACGACTATTCTTTGCCTGAAATTATTCATAGTACTAAATTAACTACATATATATTATAACGTTATGGTACTATGTAACTGACAGCAATGTGGAATGTCAGGTTCGCTTAAGTAATATTCTAGTCTAGTATGTATAGCTTTCCGATTACTCAAAGAACCACAAACATTACTCAGGAACCCATCGTTGAACAGTTTTCCCCTTAGCCGAATGTTTTTCGTTTGGACTGTAGCGCGAGCGTTCATCGAAACCCACGTGACAACGGAGTGCGTTCATTTTAAACAAGGATACAGCAAGACGGTATCCACTACAATAGTTAGACCGGGCTATCTCGTCGAAAGACAGTCGTTTATATGCACGACGAACATTTTCGCACAATAGATCTTCTAAAAGCACTTCTACACATTTTTTTCTTTGTAGGAATTGCATGGCTCGCGTATCGTTTTCCTAATACACGCAGAGTTCCGTCTTCCCTATATCCCCCCACCCCCTTTGTTTCATTTTTTTAGCTTTTTAAATATATCTTTAACACATGCTTGTTTTCACTTCCTTCTTTTCGTCACCTTCTCTCGAGCACCCTTTCTAAGATTTTATATTTTATCACAGATGTTTTGTTCTTGATTTATCGTCGCCCCTTTTTATCTATAGCCCACTCGGTATAACTAGCAGGGAACATTCATCATTATCTCTCCCTATGTTCTTCCGTAAACGCGTATTACCCGTCACCGCGTTATTTTCTTTCCATCTTTCTCTAGTACGATTTTCTCTCTTTGTATGTTCTCTTGCTAAGCCGAAATGATATTATGATCACAGCTCTCGTCTTGTCTTTACGCACAAGAATACACGATTCACACTAAGGCCTGCCTTAGTTCAAAAATATACATTCGCTTCTTAAAATATAGATCTTAGCATTCTGTACTGGCTAGCGTTCGTTTGATATTTTATAGTATTTTGATTCTTGGCAGGCTGTCTTAAAGGTTAGTATTTATCGGCAACGAGAACCACCGTCGAGTGAGCTTTCGTTCTTTCTCTCTTCACGAGGCGCTTATCCGATCTAAACACTATAGCTGGTGCACCATCCCTTTGTTTTTAAACGACGCGCATATTCATAAATTGATGTTCGCGTGGCTCAATCAGGGGCGAATCGACGAAGACCGCGAACTAAGACGGAAAGCTAAGACGTAGAAAGGAAACCGTTAGACGAGCGACAATCGTTATCGACAGACAAGTGTTATCGGCAATAGGTACATCGATGTGAACAATTCGTTCCGACGCGATTCGCGAACGATGCTTTCCGTTTAGTCGGGATCGTCCTTGCTTTATGAATATGAGGTCGGACGTGGCGAAACGTGCAGATCGCCTAACTGTGTTTATACCTTTTCCGGTAGGTTCAGTCTTATGCTCGGTTTGTCGTCCGCGTTTATATCGATATATGCGTGTAGTTGGGTTATGTCCGTTTGGTTAAGCGACTGCACGAATGCCGTTTTCTTTTCTACATGACTTTGTACACAGGATTCGCAGAGATGGTACTACGTATCACCTGATTTTTGTTTGTTTGCTGCTATTTGCTCATTTGGATATCTTTCGTTCTTACATCCAAACGCATTTCATCTTCGTTTAATTCCGTTCTCTCATACGTTATTATTATTTCGCGACGTCATATGTTCTTTCACACTCTTCTCTCTTACTCTCTCTCTCTCTCTCTCTTTAGACTCACACGCCGGGCACCGCGCCCGCGAGTATACTGTTTTTGCGGGACTTCGTTTGATTTAAAAAAAATAATAATAATAATAATGAAAACGACGAAAAATATACGAGGAGGAATAAAAAAAAAAAAAAGGGAAAAAAGACTTAGTAAATAATATCTGGTTCAACTGCACAGCATTGATAATTAGCGAATAATGGTTCGTAAGATTTTTATAGTAACGAATAACCATCGGTTCCATTTCATAAGAATTTGCTGACTTAAAAAATACACGCGTGCGAAATACGAAATGAAGGGGCACAAGCACACCTTAATCAAAAATCATTTTTCAGCGAGAGACGAGCAGGTAGTCCAGTCACCGAAAAATGATCGTTAAGGTGTCTACGATCATCTTTAATGGTGGCTGTCGCGTATTAAATTTTTTCGGCAAATTTATTCTTACCGCGACTCAGGTACATACATGTTAACCCTTCTTTGACAGTGGTTCACTCATTTCTGATCCGAGCATTATATGTTTACTCTATATTGACAAGGTAAAAAGATGGCGAACGAAAGAAACAGATATTTTAAGTCTTCGGTAGTGTATACAGTGTAACTGGTGTTTTGAGTAATGAACACGTACTTTAAGACACATTCGATCTTGTTATTCTCGTTATTCATTGTTATTTTTCATTCTATCATAATATTTTATTACTTTATCCTTCCTTGCAGCTGCAATTTATCATAGTTTTATCATATATTAATTATTAATATAATTACTATATTTGTTAGATTTACTATCATAATTGTAATTGTCTTTAGTGCTTCTTTTGTAATATAATGAATGACATGAGAATAAAAGCAAAAAAAGATCAATACAAAATCCAGCTATTCTATTTGTATAAAAAATAATGATAAACATACCAATTAATGTAATAATTGCTAGAAAATTGAATTTCATGTATAGGATCTAATAATTATAGCAATAATCATAAATAAGCAAATTTTTTAGTTACATTTGCAAATATAACTCTCTACTTAAATACAAAATAATCATATTCATTTTAAAAAAATAAAATTGATCTATAGATAAATCTAACCTGAAAGATGGATAACATAAATGTATAATTCAAGAGCGAAAACGTGAAATACTGACATAAATCAGAATTGACAGAACCAGTGCCAACCGTGAGTTCGAGGGTTAAGGCCCATTCATTTTGTATAACAGTTTTAAATCGTTTAGAGAACTAGTTTCATCATATTTGTGCTTAGCTTCCAATCGAATTATTTTTATTTTTCCTTCAAGTAAACGACTATACTGCTTTTTTCTATACCTCGATTATCTTTTCTTTCTTTCCTTTTTTTTTTGTTTTTATTCCAGGGGCAATCCCGCAATTTTTGCGCGTGTCGAATATTTTAAACGCATGGATGTATATGTACAGAACCACATATAAAAACAATGGTATACGTGACTACAAGTACAACGATGTAATAATTATACAAGGGCTCGAAAAAGTAAATAACCTCTCAGAATAATAAACTGTATACAAGTGCTGTTTTGGTATTTTTCTTTGTGTTGTAAATCGTTTCTTTTCATTTTCATTTTTTATCCTTCAAAATCGTCATTAGTAATCGCACGACAGAAATAGATGCATGCGGCATCTGAATATTAACGTTTAAAGTTCGATAGATAATACAGATATACATACATATACACATACACGATTAGTAGCTAATTCTTCTGATTTGTTTTTATAGATAACCCATAATTGTGTTTGTTTTTAACGGTCGCTAAGAGCACGGTGAAAAGACGGTACTCATAGGTCGCACAGTTCTTTATTAACATCATTGATATCTTTATTTATTTATTTATTTTTGCTAACGCGACAGACGAACGCTGTGTATGTTGATGTATATTCAACTGTATGTACCACCGAATCAACCGCACTCTTCTCGGCACACATTCATTTAATATTTGTACAAGAGCGTCCGATTGGTTTTGATATTAAAAATAACCTCGGATCGCTATTCGACTTCTTACTTGTGAGTGCATCTTTGTTTATCTGTGCAACACGATCGCAAACTTTTACGAAGTCTAACACGTTTCAGTTTTCTCTTAGTTATTCTTTCTTACACTGCATGCTCTTGGCGCTCGCTTCGATCTAAATTTCCATAGAATTGGAAAAATGTTTGTTAACATGTTTCTACTTACATACATTTGGAATTTCATTACGCTTTCCAGTGGAACATCATGAGATCAGCCCTTTATCTTGTCTAGTCTCATTCTTCTTATTCACTTTTGTTTGATACGATGATCGCCTCTCATCCGTAGTAACATATTGCCTTCACATTTTCGGAATTCAATTTTCTTGTGGTATCAACAAGTATACGTCGCATCGAAGGTCCGCTTTGGTGATACTTCGATCATCTTGTAATGCTTCATTCTTAGTATCTATCAAGAATATTGTTACTCTCGTATATTACATATACATTTTTATCACTAATATTCATTGATGAGAGGAACGATCATTAATTGTTATATTTTTCGTATTTTGATCGTTTTGAGACCACCACTGTTAGCAATAAAACGTGACTACATTACGAAAGATTTTTCATAGGAAAAACCAACGAAAATGGTTTCAATCTTCATTTTGATAAATAAAAGTAGAGGTGATTCATACTTAATTTAGGTATCTCATCATGGACTCAAGAAAGGCGTACTTAACTATGGCTTATTATGTTCTCATGGGAACTAATAAAATCATTATAAAGGAGAACTTGTGTGCGTTTTCATCCTCGCTGTTTACACACTGGATCTGTGTGATCCTTACCTGATAGGCAACATTGTATCCATCAATTACTGATTTTAAACTACGAATTTACACATATCCACCGTTTGATGTTACATCCATAATTTTTGTAAAAACAATTCTTATAGAAAAATAAAGGATATAACTTTATAACTTTACTTCTGAGAATGTTGCTTGCCCAGAAATTGTTGATGATGTCGATCGGTAAAGTACGGTATCGGGGAGTAATCTTTCCTTAGTGCAAATTAAAATTTACTTTTGGTCACGAAGGACCAATGGCATGATAACTTCCCTACTATCACCTTCGAAGGGACTTTTAACAACTGCAGGTAAATCTGCATCACTTAATGGTTCCCATAGGCACCCCATTATTTGTTTTATTTCCTATATAATTAAAAATTAATTAGATGATTGTTGAAGTAATTAAAAAGGTTAATAAATGTAATAGTTTTGTTAAATTTATAAACATATTTAGAGATATCTACATCGAAGGTAGAAACTTACATGTGTAATGGTTTCAGTCTCATGCCAAGATTCAGTGTCAGATGCAATGAATCTTTGTGCAAAAACTAATGACTTAAGTGAGTTTCCTCGTAAGCGTGCAATAGCTAACAAGTTTTCTTGGTGATATATATGGCCTATGAATACAATTTCCACAAGTTTGGTACATTTCCATGCAATTAATACTAATGGATCAGGTCTGCAGTAAAATGTTAAATTCATTTGTTGATAAAAAATTTTTAAAATAGAAATATAATATGATATAAATAGCTAGTCTTACCCATGAGGGTCACTTGGATCATATGTTGCTGGTACGTTGCTTATGAAAGGTTGTACTGAATCTATCCATATTAAAGATTTTAAAGTAAGTGAATACCACCTAGATAGTCGATGTAATACTCCGATATTAACGTTTTCACAAAATAACACTTTCAAATGTGTAAGGGGCATGGAAGGAAGAAGTATATTTGTATCTAATTTTTTAATACCAATATAAGAGTGTATAAGAGTTAGTCGTAGCTCACATTTAGGACTGAAATTAAGGAGATGGAATAAGTTATTTTCCATATTATTCTATTGAAATAGTGACAACTGAACTGTACTAGGACTTACTTCTTTTGAACAAAAACTTGCCAACTATAATCAGATGTACCTGAATACTGATAATTCCAACCATGTACATGAATTACAAGTCTTTCCATGGTACCACTATCCAATGCATTCAGCAAAGAATTACTTAGGAACTCATAATCCAGAGTTAAAATAGATAATCTGACAAATGAGTGGAACATATATCCATAACCAGAATTAAAAATGTTATAATCATTGGGATCATCCTTAACAGGTGCCAAACTAAGAGTTGTCAAATGTCTTGCCTGACAGTTACGTAAATGTGCCATAATTAGTCTGGCTTTTATTGTTAAATCTTCAATGCATCCCAAACTCAGAGCTTCTAAATGATCAGAGTTGTTTATAATGTTTATGACAGAAGATACCAATAATTTAGTGTATTTTTTACTACCCTCATCTTCAAAGGTACTATTGCTAGGTTCCAAAAACAATTTACGAAGTTGCCTGTTAAATCTTAGTTTGTTCAAAAGGGCTAATGTTTCTTTTGCATAACAATTTGATATATCACAGATGATTGTAACTTCTTGCACACTAAGTTCAAACTGATCTGCCAAGTATCTGTAATGAAAACAGAAAGAAATACAACCAATGTTTGGAGATTTTATACAAACATGAGGAACTTTATATACCGAGTCCATGCTATACTGTCTTCATCTTTCAGAACAAATGTGATCTTTTTCCAAAAATGAGGATGGAACAGAGCATACCTCCAATTTCTGCAGACCTATACAAATTATTCAAATAAATTATTTTTATGAATTTGACCTCTATGTTTTAAAAAATTGTTCCTATCATTACAGTTATAAAGAGAGGTACCCAAAAAGTAAACAGAAGATAAATACAAAAGAATATAATATAAATAATAATTTGGATTAATAATTAAAACGTGCAATAAACAAAGATAGAAGTGAGTCTCTGCACAAAGGTTTAATTACCCACTGTATCAGGTCAAAATTTAAACGGCCTTGAGAGGAAAAAAATTCAAGAATACCTGAGAGGCTCTTAACCGGCAGTTGTAGGATAAATATGAGAATATTTCTTGTAGGATGATGCTGGGCAGATTATTCCAGCATAGATTATTGTCCTCTTGCGCCATTTCTGTCGTACGATTTGCACCTTTGTAGGACGAACAGCTGTTTGCCTTTACCAAAGACAGCTGCTCCTCGCACTTTTTTGACACTGCCTTCTCTGTCGCGTCACTCTCTATCGAATTCTTTAACTGTTCCAAGTATGCAATACCTCCATTTTCAGCGCGTATCATGTTTAATCTGTATTTGACGACCTATATCCTGCACTTTCCTGGCAAATCCTTCGGACTCGGCCACCCGTTTCTTCGAGGTGAGCCCCCTCCACGAATCAAAATAAGAACCTGACGTGTATTGCGCTCTAATCGTAACTTCCAACCACTCCAACTGCCGTTCGCATATGTATGCTTGTACGCATGGTACGCGTCAAATTCTTTTCTCTCATTGGCTTACGACTACGCATGTCAACTGTAATGTTCGTGATGTTTGACATTAAACATAAAACTATTTCACGTCAGAGATATATCTGTAATTAACAATACAAAAATTATATAAATTTTACGTCATTAATCACATAAATCGTCAAATGAAAAATATAGTATTCGTATAAACAGGATAAACATAATGTAATTACTTAATGTCAAAGTAATTACTGTTGCCTTGTTATTGTTTTGACGTTTGTTGACAAGTTTTTATAACGTTACGGAGATAATTTTGGTTCATGTACAAAATATAAATTAATAGCGTTTTATATAATAACATAAACTAAACTGACTAATGCAATCTAGAAATCATAATTTTATAAAACTTTTTGAACTTAAAATAAAAGACGGTTCGCACTATCAGTATGCATATCAGCCATATACCTCTATTCATGTTAAAAATATCGTACATAAACTGATAGTATAAACTAATATTTTTCAGATTTCTTGTAATTTAATTCATTTATTTGGTAGAATAATGAATGTCGGAATATCGAAAAGTTATTTTTAGGTAGAACAGAAAACAAACTTAAATAAACGTACATGCATGCACATACGTCTGTACATATATATAATATCGTAATATTCTGTAATCTATATTTAATCATTGCGTATACTTTCGATGGAATACACATATATATATACATATATATGCACTCACAATGTACACACATATATATGTGTCCGTCAGTATATATGATCATGCCGCGAAATAGCAATTGAAGTTAAAACGAGTTAAAACATTAGTCGTATAAGCCGGGTCAACATGGAACCCGTGATTAAATGTCAACCTATAGTGCTGCGCTGTTTTCCGTCTTAGAATTTGTTTTTACAAATGACACAGAATAATGACGCGCTCGAAGATCCAGATGATAAAAGTTTTTATATTTCTGTTGATCTTCCTATTACAACAGAGCGCAGTATGCAATGAAAGTTTTAGGATAAACAGGGTTGTACCTAAATCACTATCAGTAGACAAAAGTGTTGTTGAACCAGTAAAAAAGGATAGCGCACAGATTTCGTTAAATAGACAAAAAAAGCAACAACAATATGCAGTATTATTTGGCGGCACAACAATTTCCGAAGTTAATAAAGCGGTGGATAATGTAACCTTAAAACAAACAGATGTTAATAAAACTACAAATACTACAAAGTTACGAAATGAGGTTAGTATGTAAAATTTGATTAAAGGAAACTTAAAACTTTTTGTAGTTATGTTTTTGTAGTTTCTATTCCTGTTTTTTAAATTTTGCAGTATATTTAACCAAAATGGGTTTGATTTTATATATTTAGACATTACAAATAATTACAAAAGCTCTACTACTAAATCATTAATAATGTGACTTTTCAACAGCATGTGGGTGAAGGACATGCACCTTCTTTAAATGCTGGAGCTCTGAAGCGTGGTTTTTATGTGTTTGTGGGGCTAACTGTTCTTGTCATGGCCTATATCGTGTTCCGTAGCTTTAGGTACTTAGGATTTATTTCAAGATGGAATTTGTTAAACCTTTCTTTGTTAAATCTTAGATGCTTTATAACCAATAATTACATTTGAGTTAAGGATTTATATTTTAATTAAATCTTATAATTTTATTTCATAGGTTAAGTAAAACACGTGCCCAAATGGTCAGAAAATATGGTGTTCTTGCACATAGACAAGATGTTGAGATGCGACCATTACCATTGGATGAAGAAGATGATGAAGATACTACAGTTTTTGATGCGAGTAATGTCTTAACAAATAATGTTCCGCATCAAAATTTATAAAAATAATCAGCATTAGATATGTTGATTATGTCATAAATTTTCAGTTATGTAAAAAAGATTTTCTTGTATATGGTGGTATTTAAAAATCAGAATGCACATCACAAATTTGTGGTACTTTTTATATAAAATTAGTTTATTCTGTGAAATTTTAACATTATATATGCATTCAGGGATATACTCATGTTTGTGAATTATGCTTTCTGGAAATAGATGTTCTTTTCAAATGAAAATAAAACGTCCTTGTAAAACTCCATTAATTTCTTAATTCAAATAAGTGATAAAAAAAGAATTTTAAACACCCATTATTTATAAAAGAATAAATAATGAGTATCTATATCTACTCTTATACAAACCATATTTTAATTAAACTGTGTTGTTATAATTGAAATTATACAAATACAGATTGTCTCTATTTTATTTAATACTACACATTTAATAAATATGTATATAATATATTTATTATTGTATTATTATAAATTGTTATTATAAAAATCCTTTCTGGACGGCATGAACAATAATATTTGCTAGTCTGAGTCTTCCACTTTGTGACTTAATGTGTGACAATATCCATACATCAGCTATGTCTACTCCATTCTCATCACTTATATTATCTAAATCCAATGTATCAGATTCATCTAGTAGACTCACTGGGATTATTTCCATTGCAAATATCATACCAAATACAAATTGTTCTTTTACCTACAATTATTTATTTTATATATTATAAAATATATCAAATTTTCTGAAAAATAAGAATACAACTTACCTCATTCATAAATGTATCCCATGGGTATAACTTTTTAGGATCCGAACCAAGCAAACTAATGGTATTGCAAAGTTCAGCGTAATAAGATTCTAACAATGTGTCAAATTTTTCATTCCAAAGAGCTTTGTCAGTGCAAGCATAAATACAAGTTGAGATATCTAAAATTGGACTCGCACATCTTGCTAATTGAAAATCGAGCATCAAGGCTTCATTTTTAGTTTGTTGAACTAAATAATTTGGGACCCATGAATCACCTTGAATAATAACTGATGTAGATTCATATTTACGATCACACAATTTAACTGCTTTTTGAAATAGTTCTTCAACTTTATAAGAATTAAATTTTTTTTCTGCTTTGCTATCAGGGTATTCTATGGCTAAAGCATTTTTAGCAATATCTACTATTGTTTCCTGAAAATAATTAATCATTATGTTAATATTTTATAATTCAATATAATATTTAACATTTAATATTTTGAAATAGCCAATGGTTATTAAACTTACAAAAAATCTTTTATACCACTGCCAATGTTTAATACTGAAATATGTTTCATTCAAATATGTTACAATTTCCATAAATTTCTCTTTCTTTTGATTTTTAAATGCAAAAGATATTGCATGAAATTTTGCTATAGCTTTCAAAATCATAATACATTGATCTTCAGTTAAACAATTTTGTCTGGCTATTGGTTTATATCCTAAAACAGTAACATCTTGCAATGCTATATAATCATTTTCACCATCTATAATAGAACCAAAATAACGTGGAATGCATAATACTTGAGTCTGACATTTTTCTGTTAAAAACTTCTGAAACTCTGGAATTATCTATCAAATATATTAAATTAAAAAGATATCAAATTAAATTATAGTGATATCATTAAACATGTTTTTACCTTTGTATAAAATGCATTCTCGTTGTGGAAAAATTCTGGACTCCGATATGTATTTCTTCTACCTATATTTTTTGGTAAAGATTTGACTACCAAATTAACTTCTACTTCTTTTTCATCAATAGTACCAGTGATTTTAATCTTATTAACATCTGACAAATAGTTATCACCTTTAGCACTTGCTTCAGCCAATTTCCAACTTAATATATTTATTTCTTTTCCATTATATACAGTGTATAATATATTTTGTAATGTTTCTTCAGTGAAACATTCACTAATTTCTTTTAGTTTTGCATAATCTTTATCGATACACGACATTGTTCTTTCTATTATTAAATAAATTTATTTTATTTTATTCCTTTCTACAACTGAATTCTATGCTCACTACTGGAATGACTGAACTAATTTTAAGTGTTTCACAAGTTGTATATGTAATTGTATATGTAATATATGTTGATTATCTATTAGTCTGATTAAATGATATGAAAGTTACTGTAATCTACTTTTATCTTATCACAAATGTACTTATTTCCCGTATTTATGATTCAATTGTACAATTCCTTTCCGTATAATATTACAGACACAATATCATTTAGAAAAAATTTCTCTTAATATATTTTTATATCAATAAAATATTTGTACGTCAATAGAAAGTACTACTAGGAATTACTGATTTATAGTTACAAACTGATTCTAGTTCTTTTTTAGATTACATATTAATTACACAAAATATATATTTCTTATACTCAAAAAATACATATTTTAATTTTAAATGTTTTATATATATATATACTTCGTAGATTAGAAAAGTTATAAACTGATTTAAATAAAAATATTTGTTTAATAATCAAAGGCTATATTTAAAGAAATCGAGTAAAGATTATATATTTTTTCCATAAATTTATGTTTTTAATTTAATTTATCTATGATTTTGCTTAATTCAACAGTTGGTATTGAATAACTATATGATAATATTCATTAATTAAGAGGACAACAGTAATTTATAATTGGCAAATAATTTATGTAACGAACAGATTTAAACAAATATTATAAAATTTTGTCATTTTTTTTTAGTTTTGTGAACTTATGTCAGAAATATAATTTAATGATAACATTTAGTATCAGAAAGGAGAGTTACCACTAAATTGCTACCTACATATGTGATTGTTAATCAATGTAGTATAATATATGTAATATAAAAAGAATTTTATATAAAGTACTAGTAATAACAAAAAAAAAAGAAGAAATTCGGATGTATGATCAGTTTTTTGGAAATTTGTCAATTATTATTTTTGTGTTGCTAGTTTTATAGTTGGTGAAACTGATATTTCAATTTTCGTAATATTACTAAAACTTTATAAGTTTATGAAAATACCTATACTTACATTTATTCTATCTACTGTACCTTAATATTTTGTTATACAAGCGAATATGAATATTTAATTTATATAAACTTATATATAATAATTTCTTGCAGATAATTTTTTTTATGTAATCTCATGTATGGTATTACTGAATAATGAACGAAGTTAAATGTATTTAAATCATGATATAATGTTTTTAATTATTGAAGGAAATTTACATCTTATGGTGCAATTTTAATTTATATATTATAACTTAATTTACTATGTCATCGCCATGATAATGGTCATCAATAGAATATTAGTCATTTTGTCAATAGAAATTTGTATATCTATAATTTAGTTTATCTTCATGAAACACAGTATTTGATAAAACAACGACAATTTTCATAATGATTAATGTGATAATGAAAATTATTTGGTTTCATAATGATAATTTTATTATTTAAAGAACATCATGTAGTTGGAAAATTAAATTGTATTTGATATTGCTGTCACACTGAATTGGTCCACAAACTATGCTTAAAAAAATTGTTCTAGTATCTATATTTTTTGGAAGGAAGTAACGCGCATGCGTTTATGAAACTTATTGGATGGCCGTAGAGGACGTATGTGAACAGTGTATCAGAGAGTGAAAAGGAGGGAACGACAGTTGAGAAAGTAAGAGAGACGTCCACGCAGAAAATTAAGCAGAAGACAGTGGCAGCCATTTTTCCTGACATTGCTCTTTCTGCGGATCGTGGTGCTAATTGTCGTTGGTTCTGTAACGATCTCGAGTCCGTGAAATAGCAAGAAATTGACGGTGCTAGACAGGATTCTGGCATTGTTTTGTGCACACCGAGATAAAAACGGTGCAAGATAACGATAAGATAATTCAGACGTCAATGGTACGGCGTGGCTCGAAGTGACGAGTGCGTGTGTAAACGATCGCAGAAAGTAGTGGGGCTTGATCGTAGTTGGCTGAGTGGACAGCCGAAAAGGAGGAGCTGCTGACAACGGCAAGGGTGTTCAGGAGTCGACAACGACGGTGACGGTGACGACAACGACGGCAACGATACGACGGTGGCAACGATCGCGAAAACGGAGCTACGGCAACTCAGCCTAGGTGGCATTATTTTGTGGTTTCTTCTCTAGAAACCCTCTCTGAACGAAATTGCAAAGTGCACACAGTCACGCGCCATCGCGTACATCAGCGCCACGAGATGGAGAGGCGAGCTGCTTTTGTGCTGCTGGGGATGCTATATTTAGCGGGCACCCTCGTCACGGTCCAGGCAGGTGAGATTTATCCTCTCTTTCGGATTGCCTACCATTCAGCAGTTCATTTATTCGTATCTGATTCCTTTACCTTCGTTTTTATCGTCTGTTTTATAAGTTCGTCGCGTTATCATATTGCACACGAACTCGATTGAGCTCTTTTCTTTTTTTTCGAAAAATATTCGAGATTGAAATTCTTTTTTAAGCTGGAATTTTACGTATTTCACACTCTTATACTAACATGTGTATACGGCCATAAAAAATTGACACGAAGAAACCGTTGTTGCGAGTGTTGAATAAGCAAAATGTCAATCAGATCTTCTTAAAAAGAAAAATAAATATAAGTGCACGTTTTCTGATAGAGACTTCGCGATTTTCCGTGTTTCTTTGAAATTTTTCAAAGACGTTTACCTTGTTATAATTTAATTTCTGTGATTACAAAACTGAAATTCTGATTGTAATTCGGTAGGTTTAAGAACATCGTTAGTACCATGACGCACTTGTCACATGGTGTTTGAAGTATATCTTTGTCATATGTGTACTAATTGTAAGCAAGGTTATTTTGCCATATTTAATATATTTATACATTTCACGCATAATATATGCAAGAATTCCCGTTTCGAGTTGGAAATGCCTCTTTAGAATGTGATTTTGTTCGGACATATCGCATTAATACAGGCGACATGTCTTGACAGATTATGAAATTCTATTTTTAGTTTTGATTATACTGCATCGCGTTAGAAGTGTGAGTATCCCAGCGCGGCATTGAATATATGATGCCATCAACCCATTTTCACCACGGTTCTTTTATGAATTAAATGAATATTTGAACAACTTTTCTCATCAGATTACGTGAAGTGGCTTTAAAACAAATTGAGATTCGAAATAATGATATTCCAGAGCTCTCGATTCCATTATTACCGCATATAGTTTATGGTCGTTCGATCGGTCGCGATACCTAGAGCGTTCAAGGTATCACGTGTGTTGCAGCCAAACGTCTTGTACACTTGTATGCATAGGATACGTCTGGCATTATTTTACATCGATATTGTAAATTCCGTTGAAATATGATAACCGTCGGTAACAATGGTATTCGCTCAAAAATTATTTTCAACTATGTCAAAGCTTATTGGCAAAGAAGTATATTCTCTTAATGCTTTCGTATATACTGACATATATTTTAATGCAACATCATTTCTTTTAATGCAACAATACACTTTCATGTTATGTAAAAATCGTACGTGTAAAGGCTCGAGGGTATCTCTTCGGAATGTAATCTGGTAATGTATCGGCTGAATTTTGACCTTTGTGGTCATCCGAGTTGCGCACCTCTGGTTATACCGACCCAAGACACCGGGATTCGCTCGCATTCGATGCTGCTGCTACATTCCGAGAGACGTACGCAAAGTACCCACGCCAAGCATCTTTTGTTGCGTAACAATTGACCCTATTTTACTAGTCTACCCAGAAAACTTCACTGACTTTCAGCGATCGTTACGCGGAAGTTTGTGTTCGATCGGTAATTATGTAAAACGCGAGATTTTTACGTGTTATTTACCGACAGTGATTCACGAATAAATATGAAAATGTTGCGCGAGCATGTTCTCAGATAGATATTTATCGACTATTGATAGGGAATTTTACTGCGATGCTGTGAGAAGTAAAATCTGTCTTTGCATTAGAATTCAACGATATCTTTTATTCACAATTGTTCGTAAGGAAAAGGAAGTTTTAAATCTTATTTGATAAACGGAAAGATCCGTCGGTAAAATCGAAGTACATCGAGCTGTGAAAATGTGTCGCGTGAAAAGATTTCAAGTGTTCGTCAGAATACTTATATTTAGACCAGAGTCTACGAATATAATTTCCATTTTGTCTTCGTCGTATTATGGAATTGGGAAGAGTAGACATTACGGACGTTACATTCGACCGGAGAACTGAAAGAACTAATCGTAGAGGCTTGTTTAGTTTGAGATATTACACGGTTTATGCATTCACATTTAATTTTGTAAAATTACTATCGAAATTAGCACACGTTTTCGCCATTTATATTCTTAGCTCACGTGCCTTGTTTATTGAAATGTAAACTTAACCTCCATTCTCTAATACGGTGAATGTTTTCATCCGCTCTGTTTTGCCGTTGCTTGCAAACCAGACAAGAAGAATGCTTACGTTTAACCCTGGGAGCGCGCTTCTATTTTTGACCCTTTAGCGTATATCATAGGATAATGCAACGATAACCATGCCATGCAAACTCCAAACTCTACAAAACATTTTTCCAATAACTCTCGTACGTTATTATGATTCATAAATTATCACATACATAAAAAAAAGAAAATTTATATAAAATTTGTTTATCTTATATCAAAAAGCTGATTTTGTTTACTCTAGAAATTGATATCCATCCTTTTCAATACGAGAACGGGGATGTGAGAGGACCATATGTATTTTGTGTAGTTAAAGGTTGTATCACGTCTATAAGAAATGGAATTTCAGAGATATGCGGATCACCACTCTAGATAATGTATTTTCCGTGACTATGTATTATTAAGAAAGTAATTGAGAAATAATTTGATTGGTAGTCTAAAGAGACTCTAAAATGTCAGTTTCATTAGAAAGATTAGGGAAAATACCTAGAATATCTATTTGTTCGTGAAATCAGGCATAAGTGAATCGATCGATTCATAATACATTTTTTGCCGAGTTTGCTGTTCTATATTCTGTTCAGCACGAAGGCACGAACAGTTTCGTGCGTTTCAATCGACCGCTTTCTTACACGTTATCCTATCGATATGTAAGCAGCAACGCTACTAGCGACTAGTGACCCTTGTTCAACTAACTAGGCCGTCGTTTTTGGTTTACTTGTTCCGCGTCATTTCAGCCAAACAACAAGAATCACTTTATGCATCACCGAAATAAATTCATTAGGGTATCTTTAGTTTATTACATAACGTGCCTGATTAAACCGACTGAAAACTTTTGTCCGTGTTTCTGTATTCTAGGTCTGGGTTAGGTCTAGGCTAGAACTGGTTTCAAATACGACTGCTGATATATAGATAATGAATGCGTAATCTATGAGAATTAACGGCTACAGTGAAATAGCTATACTAGGATTTACTGATATTGTTAGATTCAACGATGATAAAAGTTACATTCGTTTATTAACTTGAGAATATCATAAATGGTCTTTTTTCTGTTTAGCTTGAATATTTTTGGGAACCATGACTTTTAAAGTTATTAAATGTGGTTAAAAGTGTTTTTTGCTGAAAAGGAAAATTTATCCATCGTTATTAATATATGATCCGTCTAAGGTATAATAACATTGTAATGGAAGGGAAAACACGTCATTGTTATTATAAGTAGTTTGAATTTGTATTATACTATTACGATAGTGTGAATTATGAAGAGTCGTTATGGTGAATCATACTTCTTGCTGATGCCCAACTTTTGTTACCACTGCTGGCAGATACTACTATGATGTGTACCGACTCGAATGCACTGTTGTAGCATATTCATAATTTTACCGATTCGTCATCGAAACGCTAGGTTATGTGACCTTCGTGCATGTCGTTTTACAACGTATTATTAGTCGGAAACATTTAATTTAAAACACCTGTGATCGCTCTTAATTTGTAGATTTGTTTTACATTTATATACTCTATCGCAAGATAAACATTAACATTATCATTTAAAACAAATTGTTAATCGAAAATATATTACGTATAAAATTAGTACAATTTATGGTTAGTTATATACTGTTGCGAAAGTAGCAAGAGAGTGTGCGTTCATCTAACGTCGTCTATCGATGACTCAAGTAGCGTTTCTTTCGAATTACGTCGGAATATCTTGAAATCCCGATGCATGCTGACACTCTATGTTATTCGTATAATCTATGCCCATGTGGAGTCTCTTCGCAACAGGCATTCTCCAGATCCCAATGATGTGTAGTTATGTGTAATTTTCAAATTGTAATTAGGTGCCAGAAAAAATGCATTTCAGTGTCCACATAGGGAGCACGTGTGTTCGATTTTTTTTATATTATTTAACGTTACAATGTAAATTGTATTGTTTGAAGTTATAGATACCCAGTAATATACCTAACCTAAGGGAATTCGAATCAGAATGAAACACTGGCTCATTTCGATTCAGGTTAAACAATTAGTTTGGTAAATGTATAATACATATGTATGTATGTATGTATGTACGTATGTATTTCTCTTTTCTTTTTCATTTTATTTTACTTATAAATTTAAACGTAGGAGGAAAAAATATGGCTCGTGTCAAGCTTGTCTTAACACAAGATAATTGTAATGGCTTTCCAAGAAAACTTGAATAGGCTGATCTAACGTGGTTGCCGTGGGAACAAGAGAGAAAAAAAATGGCGGAAGAATGCTATTGTTTGTATCGTTGAGTTAAATAATTTTCCTGATCTTCGAATCGAATATATTTGACACATGATCGTTTTCACAATGATTCCAATGTTTCCTCTTTATATGTTCTTTTCAGATACAGATTGACTATATAAATCATCGCATGCGTATCGTTGGCAACGTATCTATACTTGTGGCCACGTATCTACCGTCCCTCCCTGAGAATGACGTAAGAAAGGCAGGCAGGATCTCTTATTGACTGGTTGACGTAAACATGCGTAAACACACGTAGATTGGTCCATGCTGTCCTATCTCAATATAAAATGGGAAAATTAAGGGAAAAAGGCAATTTAAAACATTTCATCACGTTTTTCAAACTTAATTATCGTTAATTTCACTTTTATACGTAATAGGATAGAACAACTACTACCAGCTGAATTGCACGCGATCAAATTAGATACTATTTCCAGAAACATGGTGAGTTTTGTTACGTCATCAAATTGTTCAAGTTTACTACTAAAATCATAATCTTTATAAAATGGAGATCCTGAACAAAAATTCTTTTTCTTTCCCCCTCAATGTTTCACTTGCTAAAGGATGATACGTAGTAGAAGTGTTGTGTGTACGTTGGAAAAGTTTCATTGAGTTTATGTGGAAATGAACGCGGTAAGCAATTCGTCAGAGAAGATTACGTTAGCAACTTTGCTGAATAAATACGTTTTTATCTATTATGATTTCTGTTAAATTTTTACGGTAGAAAAGTTCTGTCCGTTTCTGTTTGTTTTAGTCTCTTGCTTTTGATATCGAATTTCGAACGTTGTACGTTTTGTTTGTCTCGAGATAATATCTAAACTCGAGGACAAAAAGAAGACTATGCTAGAGGAAATGTCGTTTAAGTAACTCGTGTACGGCATTGAACGGTTAGTATGATAAATGAAGCATGACAACACCAAAGAATACAATCTTTAGCTTGACTTTGGAAATGTTTACTGGTCCCGTTCAATGAATAACTCTCTGTTAAGCTTAGTTCAATACATTGTTCGTGATTTCTTTCCGGTAATTATTGTACAATACGTTATTGATTGGTAGTGTTTATTTTGTGCGTAAAACTTTAAATCCTAATAATAATATAGTCATTCAGTAATTTTCTACAAATAACATTCCAAACGAATTGGACTTTTGGCTATTTCCCTTGCGCATTTATCCAGTAATTTGAAAGATTCAAATAACGACTATTATTAAAATAAATAGATAGTACATTGAATTACGAATTTGGTTTAAAAACGGTGAAACATATTTCTGAGTAATTTCATCTATCTGTTAGGTTTATTGGAGCAGAAAAATTGCAATGTATTCCTATCGGAAAGTCGCGTCTCGGGCTCCACCCTCTCTTACATCAGACTGATGAGTTTATCAGGAGGTGCAGTGACCGGCTTTTAAGCGACCTGTATTTGAAATTCGTTTATCTTCTAAACTCGCTTACAAGCGAATTAATAATGTGGCGAAATTGAACGGATGCAGAAACCAATGCGCGTAAATTAAATTTATGATAAACGATGTTCGAAAATTTCTATCATTTCCTTCATTCGTTATTTTCATTTTTACAAAGTAAGCTTTTATAAAGTATCCATTGAAATTTTGAATATTAAATAATTCATTTTTGAAATTTGTAATTGTAATCAATTATTTATTGTATTTTTTGAGTATACCAACTGTATGCCTTTTCTCTGAATGGGTTCAGTAGTTCCAACATCGCAGTCGATAAAAATCTTCAATCTTTAGCGTCGCCAGGGTAGCTGAATGTTTACGAGCATTAGCTCTCTTACTTTTGTGCTCCATCTCACGAGTATGTGCAATTCCAACTTGCCAAATTGCGTCCTAGATCACGGGCGTCCCAATTTCTGTGCCCTCCATCGTTTTCTATATTTCTGCATAGAGAAGCGTTCAAAGATTTTCGCAGCATCTCTTCGACAAGTTCCTCTGGACGTTTCATGGAACTCGATATCTCCAGGCCGGACAAAAAATGACTCTGAATAGTTCCAGTTCGGTCTAGTTCGCGGCAGTTTGTTATACGATCACAAAAAGGCATGTATGCTTTTATACTCTTGTTAGAGTATTTTTATCCCGAATCGATTGTACGTTTAAATTTATTTCTAGATAAAAATGAGAAGATATTTGAAAATATTAGTTGGAATTTCAAATTCTTCCTTATTCGTTCATAATCACCTTGCATCTCATTTGCTATTTTTCGGGTTCGTATTGCAACGATTGAAAGAAATGGTAAATTATAATGATTAATACATTTACAAAATTAAAAAAGAGTTATCAAAGTTTAATATCCTACCATTATACTGGTATTAATATTTCCAAAAAATCTATTCTTCGACAGTGTTACCACCGAAAGTCGAACTTGCGGTAACAGTTCGAACTACGAATAAATAGTGAGTTTTCAACCCACTTTGCAAACCGTGCCTACGTGGAGTATACGATTTTGCTATAGTCACTTCTGATGCTTAGTCTTATACGGCATATGTTCGTTGTGCTATTGATTTCGTTCTCATCCTACTTCGCGTTCTAGTATTACATCTTCAACATTGTAAATACAAAAGGGATCCGCTGTGTTCTTCATTTATCTGTTCTCTATAAGACACTTGAAATCTTTTCATATTACCGTGAAACTTGTTAATTAAAAATCTGTAACCACATATTTGCAAATGTACAATATATATTATTTTGCCTGTAGTAACTAGGAAGTTATGTTGCAGAAATGAAAGTTACTGGATTACTAATTATTTATCTCAAGGAAAATCATATTACGTAAATGTTTAGACTGCAAACAAACATCGATCTCTGTATCTCTGGTCACAGAGTATTCTTAAATTGCTTAACTGGGAAGGCAGAAGCCAGAGCAGCTACTTTATAGGTCAGCCTGACGTGATCGTGATTATCAGTCTCTTTCCCCCGAGCCTGCATGCATTATAATTTCATCTGGTCGAGTTGGTATCCACGAGGACGACAGGGTGTTGTAAAAGAATAAATCGCTAAAAATAAATAGAAATCGTCGAGTGTATGTCCTCTGCTCCGCGGAACCGGATCAACGTGTTCGAAGGAACCGACGTTCCTGCACTCTTGCTGCACGCTTTGTCATGATTGACTTTTTGGCGCCGGCCGGTTTCAAGCCTGTGCTGCGAATGGACGGATCAGGATTCTATTTTATACTTAAACGGACGTGAAAAGAACCACATGAAGTGCCTTACAAAAATTCATTCCAGTTTCCTTTTATATTTAGCTTTTAATCGTCCTGAATTCCATGTATGCTAGAAAATAAAATTATTTTTAGAAATTTTAAAATCTATCGATTAACAAAAAGAGGTTATGTGCATGGTTCGATCGTAGAAAACATTATCTTAAAATATATTCTGAACTTTTTCACGTTTCTGCGAAGTGTCGTGTAGTGCGATTGCGCAGTATAACCTAACCTATATCCAGTAATAAGAACATTTTAAAATGAAATTTTCGTCAATCACATTTCGCCCCATACGGTGCAAAAAGTTGTCGCCAACACAACAATGGTAGTATTATCCCTTTTTGAACAGTATTCGTGATCTGGTCCTCGTGGAAACTCATGCAAATCATTATACCCAGACGGTTGTTGTCTTACACCTCTTGATGTGTGCTCGTATGTTCTTCTCGATAAAGTAACCTACAAAGGAGCAACGGTCGTGCACGAGAATCAATCTTGGTCGATCGAATGTAGCGACTTGAAGCCGGACGATTTGATCAGATGGACCAGGAACGGACAATCGCTCGAGCCGGAACTGGCAAGCGGTCAGCTGGTTGTCCAATCGCCGATAGGCACCAGAAGCAGCACCCTTCGAGCGATGCACGCTACGGATAGCCATGACGGGGACTATAAATGCACTCAAGATAGTGACGAGTCCTTCCATCTGTGGATATACTTTGGTTCGTATGCCGACCTTCCTCGGCTTAGATTTTTATTACTTGTACGCCTTTTAATTATGTATCTTTACTGTAGCTTGCTTATGTACCCTGATATATTTTATGTTTGTTGTCTGCGTATGAATCTTATATAATTGTTTGTATATTTTAGTGTGCAGCAGATGTTTGTGTGATTTCTGTGTCATGGTAAATTTTAAAGGACCGAAAATGTTGAGCTTGAGACTTATTGAAAATATGATGGGAGATTATAGTATGTCTGAAATTACCTGACCGCTGGAAGTCGTTTCAAGTGTATATTCCCACCTGGCTGTCTAATTTAGAAAGCTTCCCCACTTTAGCTCCTTATCTGTAGTAAAGGAGTTTTTAATAATACTTGCTTGAAAACTTATATATTGATGAATGATTATCTGCACACAATGTGTATTAATTTCATACATGTGATTTTTGTACAGTTGTTTACAATGAAGTAACTCGTAGTAACCAAATATTTTTGAATAGATTATAACAGCTTCCTATCTTTTTTTAAATATCAGTTTATTTTACATTCTTGTAAAATAATATATTGTACACACTTCTGAAATACTTGTTAAAGTTTCAGGTGTCTTCCAATTGACTTGAATTAAAATTGGAATTTATGGAAATGCATATTATTCACAAAAATTAGGAACCACTATCGAGCCATTTGTTATTTGCTAATCTCTACAAAAGTACGGAATTTACTCCAGAATTAGGATTGTAATGCTAACATGTGCCTAATGCTTATCCACTGTCTGCACTTATAATTAAGTGTTTATATATAAATCGTTCGCGATAATCGCCTTTTTTAGTGAAAGCATACACGGTTTTATTCCTCATTTTCTTTTTGGCTTGTGATAATGCATGATCTTTCATCATGGACGTATATTAGTCACGCAAAAATGTAAATGCGATTAATATCTACTCTGGATCCGTTACTGCCTGTTACTATGTATTAATTGTACCATATAAGATGAAATAATGGCTCTGAGGGTCTATGTATTGATGAACGTTTGTAATTAATCAAAACGTATTTCTAATGATTACATATCTCTGCTGCAAAGAAATGTATATATTCCCTAAAAATGTATTTCGTGATGTGATTCTCGTTACGACGATTTGCTACTCGTACGTAATATTACTATTGTTATTTGTTTGCAATCTTATCATAGCGAGGCATATGTTTCCACGCGCTTGGAGTAGCTTTAGTGCATTATTTTACCGTCACAAGTGACTTTATTTGAGTGTTTTTGTCATTGTAAGCATTTATTACTCAATATGGTAATACCTGCGTTTTTAATATTAATGTCGCCTGTCAATTCTTAGAATTTGAAGGTTGTTAGAAGAATAAACAGGCAGTTATACTTATATCGATATCATAGAATACTTATGTTGCGATTACGTTAGTAGTATATTATAAAGTTGAAGAAATTAGAACATATGTCTTTTTTAAGCGAATGTGTGAAGTATGTAGGTAAAAAGGTGAAGAAGTTAAGATGATAACGGGTATCGAGTAAGTAGCTATATTTCAAAGACTATGTTAAGGCAATATAAATGGAACACAAAGGGTAACAATGTATTTTATTCACGAAAACGATAAATCGATTCTCAGGTTACTTTTGTTACACGTTTGAAAGATAACGGTGGCTTGAATTGTTCTGATAAGAAAGTATTAAAGATAAGATCTTGAACAGCTTGGGAAATTTCGAAGAAGTATGTTATATAATTTCAATGCACGAGTTTAATTTAAACAAACTTCCAATGTTATTTTTCTATTAACTAAGCAAAAAATTGTAAAGTTAACGCATTTATAAAATGATGTTAATTTTTAAAGTTCGAGCAATGTATTTTTACTAAGCGAAAAATGTAAAATAATTTTTTATGCAAATTAACCGATTTGTTTTTCTTAATACAGATATCAAGATCAGAGTACTTACATCTAAGGATGTTCCATTAATGTTAGAATGCGCGAACAAAAGTGCAGGAGAAAAGTTGCAATGGTTCAAGGAGAACGTTCCGCTATATACAGCATTAGCTGGCAATGAAGATTTAATTATGTTAAATAATCAAACAGGTAATCTGGAGCTTCTAAAGAGTGCAGATGCTTTGTACGGAAATTACACTTGTAAAGGAACTAATTCTTCCACTGAATACAGGATCGTACGTAAGTATCGATCTAAAATTATTACCTTTAATATATTGTATCATCTGTTTTATTTCAATTGCTCTTATACTATTAAATATGATGATTACGATCGTATATATTTTTAATAGCAAAAATTTGTTATTTGCAGCAAGACCCACGGCATATATGCCTGAGTCAATCAGCGTGGTGGAAGGAGAGAAGTTGCATTTAACATGTGCCGGTAAACAAAGCCCTGGTATTAAGGTATCATGGACATTTGGTGACCAGAATTATACGCGTAGTAGTGGTCGCGTTAAACTCGGATGGGACCACGAAAGGAGCATCTATGGCGCTGTCCTAATGGTTGACAATATCGAGATGAACGACCGTGGCACTGTTTACTGCAGGGTATCCTATAATTTGTCTGATACCTCGCAGTATCACGTAGCAGAGGCCCATACACTGCTCAGAATCAAAGACAAGCTCGCCGCGCTCTGGCCTTTCCTAGGCATTTGTGCGGAAGTTGTTGTTTTGTGCGCTATCATCCTAGTTTATGAAAAGAAACGAAACAAGGCTGAACTCGAGGAATCTGATACTGATCAAAGTCCTGACACGTGTGTATTATTCCATTTTCGTTACTTCATATTGTTTTATTTAGTTTAAAGCTAAAATTTCTTTGGGGTTTAGATATAGAGATGCGTGCGGAAACATAAGAGACCAAAGAATGGAATATTATATTCCATTGCGCGGACCTCTTCCACCCTCTGAACTTCCTGTTGATCCTCCTGTTACACCACCGACTCCAGAATTCCCAGGTCACAGGACGATCCAGTCCCTTTTCAAAAAACCACGTCGCTCATCTGCACCAGCGCGGTTGAGTCTGATCCGCTATTGCTTAAAATTTTTTCCCCTGAAGTCGTGTCGTCGTTTTCAGTTTTACTGGCGCTTCGCCAAAGGAAAATATCGTGAAAGTAAAGAAATACTAACGTAAAAATTTGTATGCAAAAAGTAGGGACCTTACGATTGAATCTCCATCCGCCTATGTTTAGAAATTTTGTACAGGTTATTTCATAAATAGATGGTTAAATATTTATATTATATCATCTTGAATTAGTTACAAAAATGTGTTCGTAACTGCTTTCAGACGTTTATATTGAAAAGGTTACATTTATTCAGGTTTTTTACCATATCACCTATATTTCAAATATCTTGTACACAATGATATATCATATGTACCAACCACTACATCTAATTTTATTTAATAATCATTTTTTCCTTCTTCCGTAGCAAGCCGACTCCCAATAAGGATTCCGATGTTAGGCAGAGAAAATGAACGCAGGAATAGTAAGCGGCGGATGAACGAGAGCGATGCAGGATAGTGGAACAGATGTGGGGGATTAATCGTGTGGCATCTGCTGGAGTGACAATATAGATAACTCTTACAAGAAAAAGATAACGGAGTAAAGCAGAAAGAAAGCAAAGAAGCAAACAAACAATTCCGAAAAGAGATAAAGACATCGTTTGAAGGGGTAACACGAGTATAGGAATAAGGAAATAGTAGAGAAAGAAACGATATAATGTTTTAAGTGGACAGGATAAGCTCAGGAAGTGAGATAACCCCGACCCCCCTCGTTCAAGTGCATACCTGCGCGGCAACAAGCACGTCTGTGCACAGAGAATGTTAGCGTGCGCAGAATTACAATTTACTAACAGATTTAAATTAAGCCTTACTATCGTGTTCACTCCATTTATCAGATGTTCGCCTGTCCGTACTCTCTTACTACACTGCTTTGATCGAGAATCGAGAAGAAACAAAAAAAAAAAATAAAACAATTAAAAAATTAAGAAAAAACAATGTGCTGCTGATCTTACGCGATGTATGTGTCCATAAAAAGATGAGAGTGCACGAAAGCATAGAAAAGATGGAATATAGAAAAAAAGGAAAAAAGAGAGTAAGATTAGAAGATAGATGAAAAGAGGTAGAATGGAAAGGGCGAAAAAGAGAAGTGTATATGCGTGGGTTGATGCGTGCTTGCATGCGCTTGAATGATGAAAGAATGTGATTGCAATGAAAAGAAAAAAGAGAAAAAAGAAACTATTCGGACCGGTGCATACTCGCCAAAACGAGACGTACTTGAGGACGAAGCAAAAATTCGTTTTTATTATATTCACTGCTTATGCGAATAAATATATACATGCACATATATACTACATTCAAGAGGCATTTATTCATTAAGGTACTTTCTGAAAATACTATTTCTCGTATTATTGATGAGTAAAGTATAAATTCACCGATCTGTCCATAATTTTTGGCGGGTATGTCCGGTAAGGGATTAAGAGCGTGTAAGCCCTTGTTTCTCATACTTCGCACTATGTGACGGAAGAGATAAAAAATTTTACGTTAGGACCGAAAATATGTGCTCGACACTAGTTATATAATAATAGGATCAAGGAAGGCAATGCGTGCTATAATTGGCTTCCGAGTACACCAGATTTTCAAAAGTATATTAAGGAAAGCTTACCTGGTGGCGTCGCTTTTTACTGCTGCTGCTACTACTATTACTACTAGTACTATCATTATTATTATTATTATTATCAGTAATTATTGTTATTATTAATCATCATTATCGTCATTATCATGATCGTTATGGTTATTATTATTATTATTAGTATCACTATTATTAATATTAATTATGTTTATATTAAATATTCCATCGTTCACGAAGAATATATCGGAAGTCATGGTTTTACGCGCAACGCCGTTGTTAACGACGTTAATGTAATATTAATACTGTAATATTATTGCCATCGTTACTACTGCTGCTACTATCGTTATTATAATTATTACAAGTATTATCGTTAATTTTATCGCTATTGTAATAATTTATGATCCGTACCAGCAACACGATTGTCTCATCGACAGTATCGTCATTGTAAGTATTACAGTTTCTATAATAATCCATTTGAGGATTAGCAAAACGAAATTTTAGTACTTGGTGAAAATTCTTTTTTTGCAAGTACTATTTGCTACGTTTTGTGTACTTCCATTGTTTCTAATGTTGTTGTTATTATTATTATTACTATTATTATTATTATCATTATTATCATTATTATTATTATCATCATCATCCATCATCATCATCATATCAACATTATTGTTGATATCAATAGCCATGAGTTCGCATTTTTTGTTTTCTTTAGTATCTTCTTTTTTCTTGTGTTTTGTACGTTTACAGACTGCAATAGATTTGTCTTGAATCTGTTGATCATTATCTGATGATGATAAATTATGCGAATCCCGAATCAAAAGATAGTGTTAGAACATTTCACTTTAATGTTTTATAGATGATATACGTTACACCTGCCTCATGTTTATTTAAGAACACATGTGGTTGCATTTAAATAGAGGAATCCTTCCTTTAGAAAAAAAGGTTGAGACTCCAATCATAACTCTATTTTATAAGATAACTAAACAACAGATGATGAAAAAGCACTGTGAACTTAATAGTTACATGTGACGAAGAAACAAATTTTGTTTTTCTTTGTTTCTTTCAATAATGATACTTTAATGAAATAGTTTATCCTTGAGAAAAGAAGCGTGCATTCGATTAAAAAAAAAAAAATGTACAAACGTTTTATTGCTCAAACGTCCATCCTTGCTCGTAAGTACATATAAAATGTTACTGTAATGTCGCACGGTACGGTCTGAACATTATCCACACGTACCTGGTCACGCATTGAGTTGTATAGTGATATTGTGCTGTGTTTCTTCACGCGCTTTTGTACAGAACCGCGCATTCAGCGCGCCTTATCGATAACTCTTTGGTCGTAAGCGCCATTTCTGCGTAATTCCGTTAAACGAAACCGTGCGTGTTGCCCCCGTTCGACGCTCACGAGCGATCGAGCAGAAACGACAACGGAGAAAAATAATAGAATAACGATCAATCGAATAAAGGAAAAAAAAAAAGAAAAGAAAGAAAGAAAAATATAATAAAGGAAGCACCGGAGGGAGGGCTTGTTTCGAAGTCTCATCTTCTCCAGGTTCACTAAACTTGTTTTATGTACAGTGTCGCTTCACTGAAGCGAGGTATATTAATCGTCCGCTTTGGATTCGTGACCGAGGAAAAGCTAAGAAGAAGGCAGCAATGTCGCTATCGCATTTTCTTATCGTTCGTTGGAGTCCTAGAATACTTTCTCCGATTACTTCGGTGCCTGACTTCCGTAATCCACGTATACGCGCACGACTTCACCACTGTATTTACGCTGGCTGGGCATGAAATAGAAATCTGGCTGATTCGGCTGAGTGGATACACTACCGCCTGTTGGATTATGCATATTCTTCGATCGCTGATAGTGATCCCTGCGATCTTGCGTATAATAACCAGGTTGAATTGGCGCTGTGTGCCTCGAACCAGGTGCACGTGGTAAACTGTACGTTGCCCGTGGTCCTACTATCCTATTGGGGCCTTCCACGGTATCCGTGCCAACTCCATTCCCGGTCATTTCTCTCTGACGAGGTAAACTGGAAACTGGTGGTGGTGGGGCTTTTTCCTCTGTTTCGAACGCTTCAAAAGCAAAATTCGTATTCGCACCCGAGGCGTAATCTTTCCAAGCGTTACTGGCGATCAGGCGATCCTGAAATGAGTTATTATTATTGTTACCATTATTACCATTAGTACAGTTATGTTTACTGAAAAAGTTAGTTTATTAAAATAAAAACTGAACATCTTAAACTTCAACAAACTTGTTTATGAAGCAATTGTGTAAACATCACCTGGAGGTTACGTGCTCGTTTATGATAGAATTCTTTTGGACATTTTATTAGCATCACTTGTAAGCTTTTTATGAATACACGCAATGAAAATGATTATACAAGATGACGAAGAAATAGAAGAAAGAATAACAGGAGGCAAGAGAAGACTACCAGTGTAGAAATACCTGGATTAGTGAGCAAATGAGCGTACGACGAGTAATAACTAACGCGCCGATCATGTACCGGGTGTGAAGTTCTACCAGCTGGGGTTAGGACGATGCATTTCGTACGGAGCGTGTTGGTGGTGATGCCGAAGATGATGGTGGTGATGATGGTGATGGTGATCGCCATTTTGTCGATGATACCGCGTCGCGTTCGTACGATGAATTGGGTTGGGCGCGTCAGAAGAAGCCAGAGGCAGCGAGTACACCCTCTTTACACCATGATGGTCGCGAAGAGGGCGGATCATGCAACACAAGCGAAGCAAAAGATTGTTTCGAGTTCATAAGAGTGGAGCAACAGTGAAAGTAGAGCCTGAAGTGGCGCTAATATAGCACATCTCAACCACAATAAGAAAAATAGACAAATTCTTATGGAAAAATTCAGGTGAAACATGCGTTTCTAGTCACTCAAAAAGTGATGTCTACATTATCTCAACGAGTGTGTATACGGTTAAGAAAAGATTACAGAGAGATCTTATTGCTATCTGACAAAATTATCATTTTACACTGGTCAATTTCAATGTGTACATAACATCTTTGAAAAACATCTATTTTTAAAGTACTTAACAGAATTCTGAGAAACGAATGATCCTTAGTACAAATCACACAAGAGTTTCGAAAACTTGGAACTAACATTAATAGATCCAACAAATGAAGTAGCAAGCAAATGTACTTCCAATAGACACACACAAGTTGAGAACCAATGCTCTAGGCCACACCACAGCGCTAAGATGTTTACAAAAAGAGTTAGATGCACACACAATAAAAAGAGAGAAGTAATTAGGACGTGAACAGAAAATAGCCAAACGAAGAAGTTATGTATAATTAAAAAATGAGAAACAACGTTTAAATATATAAAATAATGGGAAACGTATAGTACCTTCGTTGCTCGCCTCCTCGATGACCTGTAGAGGGTACAGCTTGCTTGTAATAGGGCGAGAGCAAGCAAGGCAGCAATACATCCGACGACGATATACAGCTTCGTAGCGTCGAGGAATAGATCTGTCGTAAATGACGATTCCTCAACTGCATCTCCTCCACTTAAGTCATTTACTGACGACCAAAACAAAAGAATTGTCCAAGTTGGATCGATGCCTTATATATCACTTAATATACTTAATAATATGATTATACGTACTAACTATGTGAAACTAGAGATATACATGAACAGGTTATTAGCTTGTCACTAATAATAAACTGGCTTTGTTAAGTTTGTTGTAATGATAACATTTCTCTCGATTGTTGAGGGAAAAGATATAATATCGAATTAAATATGATATTACTGAAAAACTTAAATGGTTGTAAATTATTGGTTTAAGATGGAAATCTTTGAAAGTTAAATATTTAAACATGCGATATAATTTCAATTAAAGAGGTAACTGTGGCTTCCAAAAATTTTATCAAAAAAGGAAAAAAAATAACATGTCTGTATAGTGAAAATGTCAAAGTTAAAAATGTTAAAGTTTTATGTATGTACCTCGAGGAGCTCTAATGAACAAGTACTGTGGATCTACACTCAATGCACCAACTTTTCCAGTAATGAGAGCTGCTTTTAATGCTTTCTCCGCAACTGCGCTGGTATCTACAGGTTTTAACGATCTACCTTTAACTTCATTTTTGTCTAAGATCAGGTCCATACGGGCAATAACACCATTTTGGTCATCGTCCCTATATGGAATAATCCCAACAATGAGTCACATATTTAAGAGTAAAGTAGCGTACATGTTGTAAATACGCACTTCTCTAACTCATTGAGGCGGATTTGGTAATAGCCTGGTAGTTTATCAAGAATTGGGCCAAAACTATCAGATATCCTGTTCGAAATAACTTCAAAGTCTGGACTACCCGGAATAGGAGCCATAAACCCGTCACCCAAATTTATGAGTTTCACTTCTACATCATAATGCAGCCTTGGAGGTGCTGGCGTCGTAAGATCTTCAAAGTCTACAAGGACGAAACAAATTTTTTAATAATATAACCGCATTATATTTTTTTCTATTTGAATCTTTGAAAAACCTTTGAAATATTTAAATTTCAAACATTGATTTTACTTTTTCTGCAACAAAAGATAGTTCTTCACGAATGTTGAAATAAGATACCATACATTTTGTAATTATAATATATAACAAAAGGATAACCTTCGAGACCACAAGACTTTATGCATATCCTCTCAGCAGAAACAACAGGTACGGCATTATGTTTACGTATCTTCTTACTGACAGCATTGAAAAGACCACCCTTAACTGGGTACATCATATACAAACAGTGATCATCTGTGAAAGAAAGATCTCTATTGTCCTTTGTTATTCGTTTCCTTGAAAACTTGAGTGTCGTTACACCATCCACTTTACTGCCGCCCGTGTTATAGATATCTTGAGATGGATCAAGCAACGGAGCATTATATCCGCTGATCCAAGTGTCCATAAGAAAGGCTCGACCCGATTTTTCATCAACCCAGCCTAATACTGCATCTGTTTGAGTCTTATAATAAAAAAAGAAGAACCGATCTTAAAATTATCAAAATTTACAAAATGTCTTTGCATAAAATGCAGCAAAATATAATTTATATTCATTCAAGGGATTAAAATTTGAATTGTTACTTTATAGTTACTTCATACCATTTTATCATCATCAGAAAATCCAACACCGGTCCAAGTATTGGTGTTAGTGGTGGAAATAACAAACGATAACTGATCCTATAAAACATTAGATTTAGTAATTTATACGACAAAATTATAAATGATAAAAATTGACTGGCATATAAAAAGGTATAACAAATTACCTTTCGTCCCTTATAAGTCCACTGAATAGAATATTCACAGGAACCATTTCCAGGTGAACAATGTTTTGGATAATGCCATTCACCACTGCAATTTGTAGCCGCTGTCGCGACATCACCGTCATTTGTCATCGCCTGTTTCTTATTCTCATCTGAACATATTAATAAATTACTAAATAATACCATATTTAATTCAATAGTATACAAGGTTATCAGTAATAGTTTATGTTATCTAAAATAAAAGTTTTCATTGACTTACCAAAGAAATTAAGCGTCAATGAGCCTCTTTGTGCACCGTGTCCATGATACTTGAGTTCGTCAGCTTTGTAGAATTCCTTTACACTGACCTTAGATTTTTCAATGCCACTCGGTGGATGATGAACATATTTTCCAGGTTCTTGTCCTTTAGCCCATATCACTTGCATATTGCCATCAATAATTTCATGATCGATTGGTTCATTTGCTGCTAACTTTCTCCGGAAAAGTATCGTTGTAACACCATCACGTTCAAAGCCCATAGCAGCAGTCAAAGTATCTCTTCCACCCCAATATTCATCTTTCCGTGGTGTAGACCTGTCTCTGGTGTAATAGTCGCCAATTCTATGAGTATTGCCTCTTGCTGATCCTATTATAATATCTGTACAGTCCATGGGGTTGAAATCGTGTTTCGGTGTGTACTTGTGTGCTCCAGGTAAGACAGCTTGTATTATGGAATAATAAATTTTGATTAAAATGAGTTACAAATCTCTTACAAATTTATGATGAAGTTAATTTGAGATAATGAAAGATAATGTATGATTGCTATGAAGAAAGTTCCCTGTTGCAACATTTATATATGTTTTGCAAAACGCAAAAACGTTCATTTTACAATATTTTTTAAAGTAGAAGTACAGTTGCACCATAACTTACATAGAAGTTATTGGGACATTATGCGTAAGCAACCAGGAAAATTTGTATCAAAATGAATACAAATTAAAAATACAAGCATTATCGTTTTTCATGTTCTGTTTAAATATATGTATGATATATTAGTATTAATACTATTAATTATGTGAATATGTTAATATAATTTAAATTACCTTTTTTTGTATTACAAAAACTACGTTATGACCAAATATTTTTTACTTATGTTCTTACGTTTAATCAGCATTTCTAATTCTTTTGGATGAAGTTAACGGAAATTTAATACCTAGCTAGAAATATCTAAAATATCTTGAATCACTTAATTACCATAAACACCATTATTACTTATTTCTAAATAACAAGATATTACTCGAATTGACAGTGATAAATTGTCACCATTATTAAAAGATGAACTAAGACAATTAGTTTAAATGGCATAAAGTAAATAGGATTTCTGTGGTATGAATCAACATCTACTAAATACAACACAAAGCTCGTGCAGTATGTACGGAGAGACAAGCAATTGAATCGACTCATTGGCTTGTTTTACCTTTTGTTGCGCTGGACTTGGTTTCCGAAATCGACTCCGGCTTTGAGGTCGGGTCAGATTTAGGCTCCGGCTCTGACTTGGATTCCGGTTCAGACTTTGGCTCTGGTTCGGAACTGGGTTCCGGTTCGGACTTTGGTTCTGGTTCAGATTTCGGTTCCGATTCTGGTTCGGATTTTGGTTCAGATTCAGGGCTGGGTTCTGTTTCAAAGTTGGGTTCTGGTTCAGAACTAGGCTCCGGTTCGGAGTTCGGTTCTGGCTCAGTGCTAGGCTCTGGTTCAGATTTTGGTTCAGGTGTCGAAAGTGATTCTACTATGGTTCTTGGCTCAGCCTTAAGAATAGGATTTGGATTGGAAGCTAAAATGGCTTCTGCTTTGGATTTTAATTCGATTCTGGTTGAATGGGATTTTACCCCTAGTTCTGAACTATGTCCTGGTTCGGATTTGGGTTTTTGTTCTGAGTTGGGCTTAGGTTCTGAACTGGGTTTAGGTTCTGAATTTGGTTCAGGTTCTGAATTTGGTTTAGGTTCGGATTTAGATTCTGGTTCTACTACGGGTTCGAACGTGATGTTGGTGCTGTCGACAGTGCTCGGCTCGGCGACGGGTTCCCCTGTGCAAGAAAGCATCGATCGTCGTGCCAACTACCTACTAGTTATTATTTACGGACCACCACCATGTGCGCTGTGTCTCAAATAAAATAAGGGACAAAGACCAAATACGAAACTACTCATTTAAAAGCACATTACACGTTACTACTATATAACTTTTATAAGCAGAGGATCTCTTGTTCTATACCTGTGTTGATTATTGATACATACCATTTACAGAATTTCCTGTTGACTCAGGTGATCTCTTTTTGCGGCCTACATAAATATAAAATTTACATTAAATGACGGTTTATATGAATTCAAGGTATTCAAATAGAAATTAACTCAAATTTTACCTTGCTTTGTACTGACACGATAGGTCACACTAGTTTGCACTGTAACATCGGCGTTAGATCGAGGAGTAGAAGTCAATAAAGCAAGATCATGAGCTTTAGCCGATCTTCTCTTGGTACCAGACCTTTCAGTCCCAGATTCAGGCTCAGGTTCGGGTTCAGGTTCGGATTTAGGTTCAGGTTCCAACTGCGGTTTAATTTTTAGTTCAGATTCTGGTTCCGGTTCCGCTTTTGGTTCTGGTTGTGGAAGTAGTTCATCCTTTGGAAGTTCTTGAATATTAGGGAAGAGACGACAAATTGGCGTCAGGTCACTTGGCCGCCAACCAACAGCGACCCAACTTGTGCCATTTACCACCATAATGCCCTCGAGTTCTGCACTCTCTTTCAGTATTCGCCAATAAAAGGTGAAGTTGTCGGAAAACTTTTTCGTGGTGTAAGTATCTAGTTCCACGTCAATTGTTTTAATCGGGGATTCTAGAAAGTAATCATAATATAAAAATTATTGAAGTATTGTTATATTTATTTCTCCTCTGAATTTTACAAATCTTAAATTTGTCTTTATTTTTTTGCAAAATTATATAAATAATTTGGTGAAGCTTACTCTTTGCGCAACCCGGTCCGAACCAGCCGATATTGCAGTAGCAGTGCTTGGTGGGTGCGGTCGTGCCGCCATTGTCAATGCACGTGCCCTGAATACCGCAGTCCGAGTCGTCCAGACATTCCTCCTTAAATTCACACCTTGTACCATGATACAGTCGATCACATCTACATCGACTTAGCAAATACCGGCCGTGACCACTGCAATCTTCTCTGTAGTTCTTCTTATCAATGATCTAAAAATGATGAACTGTAAGGTATCAGCGCATATGATATAAAACATAATACAATGTATTTTAACATTAACATATACGATAAAAAAATTAATTTGCAACTTATGGTTTACTGTGTGCTAGTACTATTTAACATCTTTATAGTCTTTGAGTGTTTTTCTTTCTGTTTTAGTTGATATTAATTTTCAAATTGGATTCTTACATCAATATCAGCGCAAGACCAAAATCTGTAACTCATGCCCCATTCTTCAGCTTCTCGAAGAAGTCTAATTGTACAGTCTGTACATGTGAAATTCTGAGGTAACTGCACAGCATAACTTTGTGCTCTAAAAATAAAAAATAACTTTTTAATTCAAAGAGAAAGAGAGAAAATGAAAATAAATGCATCGTTTTTACTTACGTGGCGTCATCTTCTACGAATTCGCTGTTTTTGGTCACCGGAGTTAAATCAACTAGTGGTCTGTCGAGAGCATCCAAGATTTGTAGTCGGAATCCACCCTAAAAATATATGAGATAATTAGAAAAAGAATGCAAAATAAGTTAATTTCGTTTAATTCGTGTTTGGAAATGCAAGTAAGTCGCAAATGATATTATTTTGGTTCCAATGAGTGAGCTTACGTGCAACTTCTTTCGTTATATTCGCGTCGGAAGCGAGAGACGGTCAGAAGGACGTTAAGACATCGATCGCACGCGTCGATAGCGATATCGAACGAGCTTATTGCAGATACATGCATAAAAACCGATCTTCTAAATTATAATTAGCTTTTTAGTTACCACTTCCTATACTTGCAATGTTATCGTTACGAAATCACTAGTTTTATGAGATCGTCGGTGAATTTGAAATAGGAAAAGACAGATGTCGCTGTGGGAGATCAAAGTCTCGCAATAGATAATGAGATAAACATTGATTTACTGATTGGTGATGTCAATCTGGCACCTGTATTAAGGTCTGTGGAAAAGAACCGTTAGTATTCAACTCTTTCTCGAGAACAATATTACGTTTTCTTCTACGTGCTGTGTTTTCTAATTATTAACCGCATTCCTTGCGTCATCATAACCTGAAAAATCTGTCGATAACTTTTTACCGACATCTATCGATAACCTTCTAGACGAGTGCTTGTCAAATTTGAATCAGGTATCTTTTATGCATTTGAGATTCTTGAAAGTTTTAAATAACGAAGAATATTTTATAACAGAAATATATTATAAAATATTATGTTCGGTATGCATTTACTGGCAAATGAAATGCTTTTATCGGAGGTGCCTATCACGTCTGATAGAAATTCTCTTACAAATTCACGTGAAATGTTTTTCAACAGCGCATGACGATTATGCCAACGCTTGAGAGCGGAAGGAGAAAGGGAAGAAGCAGTCCAGTGAAGTGGTACTGCTTCGCACGGTACACACCTGTAGCGGTCGTGGCGTTATTGTCGAATTTTTCTCATACCACAGATATTTTCGCTCATAGAATTTGCGAGCCATTTCAGTTTATGATCGTGTCGAATAAAACCTGTGGTCATGTGAAAGAATTTATAACGATGGTATACGAAACAGGTATAAATTGATATAAAGTTGATTACGCTCGTAAAAATGATACAAAAGTAATTTTAAAATATTTTTCAGGTTAAGTTGCATTAATTCATATTTTTAAAATATAAAACCCAAATATCTCATACTTGCACGAAGTTATATGCACAACATAAAATATGCAGGTATAAACTCTGGAAATTTAAAATACGTAATCTTGAAGATTTTATAATAAATTAATGATTCTTCTGCGTATAATAAGGTAAAATAATCAAGCTTAGTATAAATTCTTTCTCGCTTTGTGATTTTGTATGTTTCTCAGTTATAATGCAGGTTGATTTATCTTATAGCCATCCGTTCACGGTTCATCTGCTTTTCTAGCAACGGATCTGAAAGCTTCGACTTCAGTCCGAGTCATTGGCGACAGCGGAGTTACGGTACCCGACATACCGATGTGTTCCAGCGAGTACAAGCTGCTCTCTCGTGTACGTATTTACATGCAAAAAGACTTATATGCCTTACCACCTTCTTTCCGACCTACCTATGTACGTAGGGTAAGCGAAGTACTTTTGAAAGTATACCGAGCTTTGCTTTTGAATTATTCAACGGACGTCACCTTGAGCGACGACGTGCAAGCGTAGGCCGTCCTCAGCTTGTACCTTTTCTTTCCCTTTCGTATAGACCACGTGTGGACAAATTCGTGATGTCTTTTACGATGACTTAGGTAGTCTTATGACGCGTCGTGGAGAATATGAATTTCCAACAGTGCCAATCAGCCATTGTGTTTGACTTACGAATGCGTTTTAAGCTTCATGTGATTTTTCTTAATCGGAGGTGGAAAAAGATGGCTGCATGAATATATTTTCCATCAGAGTTTCAATATTTAGGTTTGTACTTTTATACATACAGATGAGAAATAAGACAAATTTTGTATCAAGAATAATGGTAACATAGGGATATCGATGGTCGGTTGATTAGTAATGTCAACCGCCGCCAATCATGCACCATGCCAGGATGGATGACCGGTTTTATTCATTCAAGAATCCCGGAACTTTACCCATACAATTTATGATGGTCTTATCAGTCCTTCGATCTCTTATATTCTCAGCCTTCAGCAAAGTAAAACTAATCGGTCTGAAATATTTTATAATTCTTCTTATGTGCTTTACACGAGAGCGAGTCATAGTTACATCTTCGTATGTTGTTAAGTAACTATGAGGTTTATTGAGTGCCAATTGCAGCAGTATTCGTAATGACTCATTGGTGATGGACTGTTGTAAGTTAAATAATAGGATAATTAAAATAATCAAGTGTATTCAAGTTTCTTCAAATCGCAAAACGTGTACAATCAAGAGTACAATCAGGTCGGTTGAAAGATGAACGCTGGAAGTTCCAGATCGGAGAAAGTCGAATGTAACGTGCAATATAATAAAGCACAGTATGATTTTATCCTGCTCTCATGTAACTGTGCATATAGTTTTTTTCTTTTTCTTTAAACAACCATGTTTCTTAGGTTTCTTGCTTGAGCTTCTTAGTGTTTCACGATTACGCATGCGCAACGCAGGATTTGGTATACTAAATGCATCTTCGATTAAAACGCACGCACAGGAATTACCGACCGGTCTCGGTGCAATGGTTTTACAACTTTCTTTTTTTCACCACTGGACAACAAAATTTGAACAGAATTCAATTATCCGTCGAGTAAAAGTCACTTTGGAATGCAGAGAGGTGAATGATAATTAATTACATGGAAAATACCGGTAACACCATACCCCTTCTTCCTTTTCAGCGTTTAATTAAACAGAGTGTAACACGAAGAAAAATATTTACTCACTCGATGGGGATAAGCCAGATGCCAGGTGACGTTGAAGTTACTTCCAGATAATAAAGTAGTTTTAATATCGCCTGCAACAAAAACAAGTACATTATGCAACGTTGAGCACGCCATTCTATACAAATTTTCACGTACACCGTGCGTTAAATTGCGTTGAGAAACGGAAACTTGTAATTTCTCAGACTCATCGATTTAGACGAGGAACTTACGAACAATGAAAAATTAATATTTATTACAATAACGAGACACGATAATTTATGATAATCACCGGAAACATGCATAAATGCAAGTTCAGAGAAATTTTTGGTGCGAATGCTCTCATCTCGTTCACTCGGGAAATGGAAAAAGATTCAATAAAATCACATCTTTATAAGCATTTACTATTTCTTATCAATTACGTATGTGAAGCTATACGAAGAATTTCATATGTTAGATATATCGAGTGCAACGCCACTGTTTCCTTTCTCTTCTTCTACACATAATCAAATATACACCTGATATGTTCATTATTACATGCATTCGTTTTGTTTCTTTTTAGTATTTTATGTAAGCGGCACGTTTTCGTAACTCAGTTATTTTTATCGAACAACGATAGGTCGTGTAAATCGACCATTCTGATCAAAAAGCAAGTTGTAAGTTGAATACAAACAAATTAAAAATAAATTAAAAAGAAAGATGAAATAAAGACAAAGTCAAACCTAATTCCGCAGTTTCATATTCTGGGAGCATCTAAAGCCAAATAAGAACTACAACGTTATTACATCGCACGAAGATTGGACTTTCGGAAATAATCGAGAGTGGTACGATGTACGATTAATTTCCGGAAGCAAACAGGCAGTAGCTCGCGTTCCGCGACCGATCCTGCCTTTTATGCACACTGCCTATTTTCTTCACCCCTCTCCGAAAAGAAAGCTTGCATTCCTTTTGCTTGAAGCGAACAGTCAAACCGCCAATTAAATTATGGCCGAACGGTAAGACGACATCGGCGAGGTAATATTTTGAACCCGAGGAGCGTAAGAAAATTAATAAACATGACACTCTCTACGAAACTCATCGCCATGCATTTGCGCGCATGCGTACGTGGGTTCATGCGTCTCGTTCGAGGCGACACAGGTGGCTGTCTCGAGAAGCACAGATTTTCTTTACAGCGTACGTCAGAACGGCTTATGATTCAACAAAGTAAGGTATATTGTACTTTATAAAGGATGAACGATCAGATTACAATGCTGAGTAAAATCAAGAACTATTTATAGATAAGTACGTAATGCATATTAATGTTCTGAGTAAGATTAATAAACAGACATCATTACAATTAATTTAAATGTCCAATAGGATAATCCATACTAAGAAGTTGAAGTATAGAAATTGTCTCTTCTTTAATCAAGATATGTAATTTGAATCTTAAAGTTGAATATTATACACGCAATGTCATCACAAATGACGATATCATCAATAATGTTCCTATATCTATAATTGTATGGAGTGCACTACTAAATTGCAATACTTTTTTAATCAATGCTCTTCCATCAGACGTTCTTCCATCATAACGATGCACGCGTGTATCTAAAGTTCACGTATTCCTTGCGAGAGCTGGCAAAGAGAAAAGAGGGTACGTGTACTGCGGTTGCAGCGTGGAAGCAAGATATGGACGGTAACAGCCGAGCAGCCGAGGTTCGAGTTCCCTTCGTGCGAGTCGGTGAAAGTCGCTTCGAATCAGACTAGCGGGCTATCCCCTCCACGGTATGTCTTCGTGTTAATGTCGTTTTCCCATAGAACTCTCTCACCCCTTCTACCCATCCCCCGTAACTATACCCTCATATTTCATATCACCAACCAACGACGTCATCCTTGAGACGACCGCGAAAATTTCACACATGCCAGCTACTGGTTCGTGGATTGTGTGACATAGCGGGGCCACAGCATCTGGATAACTTACTTCGCAGATAATACTATCGAATGGGATTCGCTGTTGTTTTTCTACACAGCGCGGCATGATGCATCGTTTCAGATTTCATCAACTCGCTTTTTCTATGAGCAAGGATGCAACTCGCTTCTATTTGATTCGTCTACAATGGGGAACTTGGTCCACTTCGGAACTGGACACTGGTGGTAAGTGGTTTCGATATTGTGGTCCTTTCCTTTGTAGTTGTCTAGTGTTTTGCAAAGTTGGTCTATTAGATCATGCGGTAATTCGTGTCGCAAACTAGTAATTACAGCATTACCATAATGATTGTTTTGTACATACTAAAATCACTTCTCTGGATATGGAATAATATAAGACCTGGTACTGTTCTATCTCATTATACTATTCTATCTCAATTACGTTGTTTGCAGATACCTTTAATATATCTATACCCCATCATGGATGAGTTACACCACTCAGCAGCCTTGATTGACTAGTTGGAATCTTAATAAAGTAATACTAATTTACACTTGTTATATCATACTAATAATACGCCAATTTGGGCTTATAATAGTCTACCTACACAAGGGTCAAGCCTTATAGGAGTACCGTTGAACCCACGAAGGAAACCAGTGTATAGTATTATATTCTATACCGTTCTAATTAATTTCTTTAGTCATAGTATTGACACAAATCGTATCTAATTTAATTATTAATTTTTTAGCATTTTTATATAAATGGAAACTGTATAACAAACATTTACCACGAGGCATTCCACAAGGTCCAGGTGTCCTGGCGTTGTCCAGAAAATCCAAGTCATACTTCCTCGCGCGAGGAAAAGTCAAGGCTACATGTCCTTGCACTTCTCTGAACGATACTACTGTTAATACCAGTAGAATCAGTCCCGACATTACCGCAGAACACGTTTTCGATGACATTTTCAAGTTTGAACGTGCTAGTACGTTCACAACCTTGACGCTTTCGTTGAATTCCACGCGATTAAACCCTTTGAGAATTTTCCTCTCGTTCTCCTAAGACCCTCCAGCTGATTTTTCCTGATGCTCGGCATGGGCACCCCTCGTTGATTAACTCCTTCCGCTTCGGTGAGGTCAAGAATCTGAAAGAAGAGGAATTTCTTAGCTCGTTTATCAGGTTTGAAACGTTTCACTTTTACTAACGAGGAAAGATGTTTCAGAGATGTATTTTTTATCGACTGTTTTACTTTGAAAGTTAGGATTTATTATGGGAACAGACATGTGTAGTTATGTGCGAAGTCGATGCCAGTTTTTGAAGCTCGATCGAACTAGTTCTTCGGCAACTTGATTGACTAATATCGAATAAATTATAGGGTTCTCTATAAATTGCTAATTATCAATAAATGTGCATCAACATTTTTGTATCCTAACGGTATATGTTTTAAAAAATCATAATTACTCGATAATTAAAATTTATTCGAAATTAAACTGAATTTTTTATTAATAAAAATCTCACGTTTACTTTGTAGGTATTAAGATCTAAAAATCTTTCATCTCACGGACAAAAGGAATGACGAATATGGCAATCTCTGAAGTTTCGTAAAAATCTATTAATTTACAATCGGTGATTAAGCGAACATAAACCAGAAACATAAATTCTGATGATCACTCGATTGGCTCCATTATATATGTATTTGTTTTTCCTATATTCATCATTATACAAGAATGTATTAACCTTTGGTCCCATCTCAGATGGTGGAATAATAATAATAATCAACGCGCAATCGGTAAGCTAAATTGTAACGTGTCGATCGAACGTGTCATTTCCTCTCTTCGTATTTCCTTTTCTGAAAACATCGTGATTACGCGGAAAACCGCAAATACCTCACGATCGTTACAGAAAAGAATAACAGTCCTCGAATAATTGGAGGGTCGAATCGTATTTCCATAAAGAGTGTAAACCTATAGGGTAGACAAGGAAACAACGCTTTCCCTTTCTCTCCCTCTTCCCAGAAGAGTGTAAACCTATAGGTTAGACAAGGAAGCACGATAGGGACGCGCGCAGACGTTAAAAAATGGCGGCGCAAGTTCGAGCGAGCAGAATAAACAGAGAATGAGATGGTTTGCTAGAAATCATAAGGAATAAAGGAAGAAGCGAAATCCAATAACTAACCGTGAGAAACAAAGAGACAAAGGCGAAGGACGCGTGCACATCTAGATAGGTGGAAAAAAAGAATAATTATGGCGATCCGTCGAGCGAGGTATATGAAACTTAACGATGAAAAGAAAATAATCTCGAAAGATTGGGTTACAAAATAAAGCTGAAATTTTTCTGAAGACGTTCTTTCCTGATCTGAATAATTCTGTGACAAAGGAATAAAAAGGTAACAAAATTGCAAGTGCAACATATTTCCACTTTATTTGTTATATTTCCTCTCACTTCTAGTCAATGTTTTTGGGTTTAAAAATGAACAAATTATTCTAGTGAAATGAAACATATTATCATTGAACTGTCATTTAAAAGAAAAAAATAAATCGTTGAGACATCTAAGTACCTTAATCACATGACAAAGAAAATATGTAGTTGGAACATCAATGAAAAAGTGTTACGAAAAGCAGCAGAGAGAGAGAGATAAGTTATTGGGCACGTGTAAGCCAATGAAAATTAATATATTCGTGACGGTTACGACAACCGTTGCTACGCACATTGCGACATACGGGAGCGGATCTCCTTCTGAGGAATCCTTAACGTGGCCTCAACACGGCCTCAGAATGGCCTCAGAATGGCCTCAGAATGGCCTCATCGACGAAGTACGCAGATTCTACCTCGAACGTGCAATTCACTCGCAGAAACGAACACAAGTAGTGGGAGGATATGATGCTGAAGTGAAGACGGGGGAGGACCCAAAGGGAATGGGAGGAAACAGAGTTACAAGGCTTGCGTATATTTTCTCCTCATCTCGTTGAAACCTGACATTCTGCGGGATCTCGGTCTACTAGCTGATCTCCAACGCGACACGCTCTTCTGCTTGTTTTTAACAGACTCACGGTTGTTGTGAAATCGCAAATAACGCGGTATACGCGTTTTGTTGTTCGATGGAACCTAACCTTTGTCCTGTATTTCGCAGTTTAGAAATTCCGATGTTTCGAAAATAGAAATTATCTCATCGGCAAGTTGCTTTCTATAATTTTTGATTAAAAATTCCAAGAAACCATCGGTTTTTGTCATATGTTATTCACGCACACGAATACATATTATGCATCTCGATATTCTATTTATGTTTTGGATGTTATTTCAGGACACACACGCGGGTATTTTCAACATGGTAAAGAACTGAGAACTGACGAGCCGAAATGCCGGATATATAATATTTATCATAGCGAAGGAAGAATTAACTGGCATTCCAACCAATAGTACGGTAATTTCAATCGGTGTCGATGAACGGGGCACTTGTGCGTGGAGTTTTGACTGGTGTAGCGAGTCACCGAGTGGAGGAAGGTGAGGTAAGAGCCGAACCATGTAGCCAGGAGAGGGGAAAGAAGGCAGCTACGTAGGGAAAACGATCCGCCTTCGACGGCTCGTGGAAAACGAGTTGACATTCCAGTGAACACCGATGTCGTTGTCCTTAACGACGACGTAGCTTGCTCGTTTATTTATTCGTGCTCTAAATACCGTTGATCAATCCCATGCATGATCTTCAGAAAATGTCTCTACTTATTTTTTGTTCTCACGCAATCTAATTTTGTAAAGGTACTTGTTCGAACGAAGGAATATTGATTAGCGACTAGTAATTACTATTGAATGGCAGTTGTATAAGAAATTATACAAAATTTGTTTAAATTTTTAGGTAAGTGTACAGATTAAAAAACAAATATAATAGACGATAATAGACAACAATAATTAGGTGAAGTAAGATATAATATTTCAAAATTATAGAATATATAGATTTGAAACATCACGTATTTTCTCTTTTTCTTCAGAAGAACTGTAAACATACTTTCCTAGCAGGATAACTACGCAGTTAACAGGTTGCACGTATAAACTTTCTCGAATTCCACTGTTTACATTCTACGTTCCTACATGATCTTGCGGCTGCATATTGTTTCACTACGC